TGTAATAAGTTTAGAGGTCAAAAATAAATATGACCTTTCAATTCCTTACAAAATTTATTTTATATAATACGTATATATAAAAGTATTATATATTAGAGTATATATTGAAAAGTGAAATGTGTCAAATCTAAGCTTAATTTAGAAAACCATTTTCAGATTCTGAATCTAATAATAGTTGACATGTGTGTACAGGTATTTTACAATAATTTTTATTCCTGTTATCAATATTGTTAACTAGAAAGAAAGATATGCTTTTAAGATTCTTAATCATAAATCTTGTCGTTTTGTAATCTGCGATCAATAATTTTCGTATTAGTTGAAAAAATAAAAGCATTAAGAACAAAATTTAATCTAGAAAATAAAATACACCAGTAATGACAAAATATTACAATATTTTAATTATTGATAGCAATTTTGTGATACAGTATTATTATTAAAATTTCTATTTAGTGAAATTATTAGTTGTGATGAATAAAATATTTTCCTCATATCGTTTCGTGCAATACAATATAATAATATTATTATAAATCAAGCACTCCTCGTCTTTCAGAAGTAATGAGTCCAAAAAAATGTATAGTATACGAAAATCGAGAAAGAGTTGCACGAATAAATAATATTCCTTACTAATTCGGTTGCAATTTGAAAAAATCGTGGACCTATAAATTCCACTCTCTTCTGTCTGTCTTTCCTTCCTTAATCTCGAGAACGGAATTAGATAGATGAATGCCAAAACCAGATAAGGAAAGCTTATGGGCAGGAGGACCTATATACGAACTTTCGATGCAAACCGGAAGTCACTTTATTTCAATTCAAAATTTTTTTCTCTGAAAGGAATTGGATAGATGACCGGCAGGACTCTATTGTTACAGGAAAAGTATATTATACAGGGGCAAGCCACTACTAATTTGAGGTGGAGAGCATATATTTTATATTAAATAAATTTAAAAAATATGATTAAAAATTGCAGGCCGGCATTGTGACCATGTCACAATAAATAATTGCTCGTTTAAGTCAGGAATGTTTGTATTTATGCAGTTAATTTTATATGGGCTGATTTGTATTTGTTGTTATTATTATTAAATTAAATACTTATATTTAACTTGCTTTTTTTGTCCTCAAATCTTGCAACTAAAATTTAATTTCTACTAACTAAAAATCCACTTCTAATTAATTAAGATAGAAGACCGAAACTTTAAGATTCAATGACAATGCATTTTTAATGATGTTTTCGCGGGTGGCTCCACAACCATCATTTTCCCCACTCCGAAACTCAATAAATATAACCAAATGTAGAATTTAAATGTGTATGTCTAAATATTTTGTAGTGTTGTACATGACGGAGATGGCCACCTCCTCATCAATCTCGATAAACATGGTCAATATCCTTTTTAAAATTTTTTAACATATTTGAATTATTAATACAGGTAACAAGAATATCTTATTCTAAATACAAATATAACTTTCTGTACAAAACATTGAATACAATACTACGTTTACTAATATGTTAAACATTTTATTTATTCTCTATAAAAAATGCTTTTGTATGTATTTTGGATTATCACGAATTAGAACGAATTAATTGGATTTACATTGATTCATATGGAAATAATTGCCTCGGTTTTCGTCGGTTTCGGATTTCGCCGATTGTTTTCGGACTGATTATCGACGAAAACCGAAGTATCACTGTAAAGTTTTCGAGTTCTCGAAAACTTTACAGGCGGTTTTCTGTGATTTCAGTTCTTAAAATACTGGTAACAATACCGCATTTGTTTCCGAACTTACGAGTGGTTTAATCGCGTGTCAAATCAAGTATATGTAATTTTCTACATACTCTTACATCTACACACAGTTCGTACTGTACTGTACTGTATTTTGTCCTGTAATCATGTCTCTGTCAAAACTCACTCGTTCAAAGTATAAAATCAACAATATGTTCATCAATTCAACCATTCAAAATTTCACTCTTAAACGAAAAAGTAATTTCCGCAACAACACCTATCTCACTGAGAATTATTTACTAACTTTAACAAAGTAAATTAATAAGTTACAGTAATTCTAATTGAAAAAGTAATTGACCAAAGTACCGTATGTAACATTAAAAAACTGAATTGTAACACAGTACCTTTAGTTTAATGTAATTGTATTGAATACTATAATAAATTGTTTATTAATTCACCGTTATAGAATTAAATTTTATTTACATATTTTTATATATACAGTATATTTAACTTTGAATTTTAAGTTTGAATTGAAGTTCTATTGTTCTATTATAAACAATTACTCCCGCGACCGCTGAATACATGCAGGATCAGCCATGTCTAGACAATCACTGTTATCCTTTGTGGCCTTCTTATACAGTTTTTTCTTTTACTATGATAAATTCTTTAATTCAATTTTATTTGTATTTATAGTTTTCTTATCTGTAAGTGGGGAAACGATTTAATAGATTAATTATCTCTTATTTTTAAAGAGCAGTGACAACGAATCCAGAAAAACCTAGAGGAAGTTAGCTCGAATTATCAAAATACCTTTTATTAGCACGTGCCAGACCACTGTATTATTGATAAACCATACATACCATCAAAAGTATTTTAAAAATAACGTTCTGAAGTTCGAACAAATAAATTATTTTTTATGTGGATGGAGAGAGATTAACTCTTACGGTTTGATAGAGGCGAGCGGCCCTATTATAAACAATAAAATACAATAAATATTGTAGCAAGATACAAGTAATTATTTATGAGAGCTAATTAAATGTATTTATTTTACGTATAGGTTTCATTGCTATACAGAATATGCCCATATGTTTATTTAAGTTTATTAAGAACGGAAACCAGAAAAATGAAATCGAGATGCTTATAATAAAAATAGATTAATCTATTGATAAAATCAAGAAACGTTATTTATCAGTCAATTGATAAATGATTTATAAAGTTTTAAACGGAAGATTAATAGCAAAATATTCTTTCATTATTATTAATTACGTTAGTAAAAACGATAACATTGCTAATATTGAATAGAGATTGACAGAAGTTTAAAAGTGTCGAAAATCGATTTTGATGACAGTAAATTATACTACGAAGCTGCCATGTACTGTACGTAGTCTATTTCCAGCCTGTCTCTGTCTCGTAGACTGTGACAAATAGATAATAAGATTGAAGAGCATAGCCACATTTAACCACTAGGAGCGCTTCGGCTAGGATTTAGGACGAAAACTAGACGAGTATATACAGTATTCTATATATATATAACTGATACGTAATTTACTTCTAAATATAATTAAATTCAGAAAAAGGATAACCGTAGAGTCTTTTTTTCATAATTGCAAGGACACGCTTCCAAATAAAAAATGTTATGCTTAATACGACTAAAATTAAACAATTTTCATTGTTTAAATAAAAAGATATTTGTCTATCTTTTAAAGTTTTCATTACTGTAAAAATGCACGCATTTTAACCTTCCCTAAGAATACCTGTAATAAATTTTTGTTTTTTTAGTACAGTATTAAGAAAAGTTGGTTAATGATCATGTAACCTGATATATACCTATAAATATAATTATCATGCTACTTCACAAAAGATTTATTTAAACTATAGTATTTATTGTTTGTGCGATTTTCTGCTTTTTTAAAGGTACTGTATTTCAAATTACACTATGATACACAAGTGCTGATATAAAGTAAGATACTGGCCATTTATTCTTTCGAAAATTTAAAATATCGACATCTCAAAAGCAATTGATTTGTGAAAAAAAAAAAAAAAGCTATTAGTAATCTTTTTTCCGTATTGTTAGGCCTGTAATATTGATGTGCAAGTATTTTTAAAACAACTCAATGAAGTACAACAAATGCAAAAGTATGGTAATTCCTGAAGTTGTTGTAAAGATGCAAAATATTAATACTTTTTACAATACTAAAATATAAATTTTCGTTTATAATTTTAATTAAACTTTTTACAATAATTTTAGTTTTTTAACTAACTGAATTATCAAATAATTTTAAACTTATATTTAAAAAATTTATAAACTTACATATATATATATGTAGTTTTATAAATTTAGAAACATATCTTGCAAATTTAATTTGAATCTAAGTTCCATATATTGCTGGTAGTATTTAGTTTAAAAGTATTTGATAATTAAATGGTAGTTAGTAATATATATATATATATATATATTATATAGTTCTGTAATTTTTAAGATCTTTGGAAATGTTCAGTCAAACATCTTAGGTCTTTTAAATAGCATTGATCTAAATGGAATAAAAATATTCAATTATGAATATTCTTGACATAGCTGGTATTAAAAGTGTCAACCAATCATGTTTTGGATATTCTCTTCTAGTAAGTTTCGGTGAAATTATTTTATGTGGTTTGATTTTTACATGATGGCCCACTCTCTTCACCTGGATGAGGTTTGCTGAACCTATGTTTGCTATGAAAAGCTTTAATAAATGCAGAGTGAAAAATAAAAAAATATTAACATAGAATTCTAGATAAATTTCAAACATTGAAACCGCTTAAAATTATATAACAAAGGCATTAAAGCAATATTTTATTATTAATTACACTTCAACTTTATACAAAAATAAAAATCATCACTGACAATCTAGCTGAGTTTTACATTTTTTAGATATTTTAATAAATATCCTCTGGATCACATTACATTTGTTATTATTCCAAATCCAGAAGAGAAAAATTTGATATCAATCTTAAAAGGCTGTAAAATCAAAATAAGTTTATGATTTAGTAACTAAGTGAATATTTCTGATCTTTAAACAAAAATTATACAAAACAATATAATTTTATATGAACAATGTTTGACAGTACTTATAAATCTAAAACAAATTAAAACAAATATCAAAGCAAATTTCATTTATACAGTAATGTCACATTAATATCAATTTAATATCTTTTGTTTCTTTACATAACAAAGTTTTATAATAGTAAAAGACAAAATGTTTTAAAAATATTTGTTAAAATTCTTATTAAATATGACTAGTTTTATTTATTTTTAATTAAAAATTGACAGCTAAATGATTTGAAATCATACAAATGCCACAATGCCAGAAATCATTCAATTATTAAAGAAAATTAATTTTCAATTTCTTGATATTTATCCAATTTATGATTTCTTCACATTTCATATAAATTTATTAAACATAAATATTTTCTTTATTATTAAGAAATAATGATTCAGAATCACAAGAACAATCTCTTATAAATAATATGATTTTGTTTTTTATACTTTTAGGCCATTTTTGTCTAAAAATCAATTTACAATTCTTCTGTAAATCATCTACTAAAATTCTTTTATTTTGAAGTAAATTTTGATAAAGTTTAGTAAATTTTGACCAAGTGCATTCTATATTTTGTGACAGAAGAAGAAATTTCAAATTTCTAGGACATAGCAAAGTAGACACATCAAGATTATCTGTAAAGATATTACACCATAGATAACTAAAATCACAAAAAAATTTTTCTGATAAAATTGGTTCATAAATTATTAAAAATAACCAAAGTTCTACAGTCATTGATCCTATCATTCTTGAAACATTTTGAGCTATCTCCTTATTAACAAAGACCTGTTTAACTTGTAATAATTGCTTGGCAACATCTTCAAAACAACATGATTTTTTTTGAAGTATTTCTTTAATTATTTTACGTAAATCAATAATTAAATCGGACGGTGCAACCATTGGATTAAAATTACTTGACTTCTTACGAACAATATTCTTTTTAAACATTTTTTCAATTTCTGCCTTCAAATCATTTGAAACATAATTAAAAGTAACATATGTTTTTGTCCATTGTACAACTTTATTAATTGCCATACGATATGATATGGAATTGCAAATCCTTAAAACTTCTTGACACATCTCATTCTGTAGTAATAATGGCATTACTTTCTCAATTTCATACTTACAATATAGTTTAGCAAATTTTATAGCTTTCTTTTGCATTTCAATATATAAGTTTTCAGAAATATCTGAAATTTTGATAATGATGATCTCTGACAAATGTTCATGCTTTATAATTTTTTCAATATCTTCTTTCAATTTTGGAAGAGTTTTCTGTTTTGTCAAGGGAATTATTTCATTTCGAATTTGGTGAATGGCTTTTGCTGCTATACGCTCGGCAACAAACTCCACAGTTTTTTTAACAGATGATGACTGTAAGTGAAAAAAATTATCTTCCAATTTATATTCCAACTGTTCTGCAGTAATACATGATGATGATACATTATCTGCAGATACAGGGTTAATCTTTCGAATTTGCTGTCCTTTTTTCTTTATTCCAATCAAGTATTCTTCTAATAAAATTCGCAATTCTCTTAAAAATGGACAGCATAAATAAATAGTTTGCTGATCCACAATATCTAACATATCAAGTCCTTCAACAACTACAGTTGCACTCTGCAACTTATCAATACACAGAAAAAAACTTGATGTGGGAAAATTAGGCATTTCAAATAACCAGCCTAAAACAAATTTTAAAAAGTGCCTATTTTTGCTGTACATGGTATGATTTAAAGATTTATATATGTGAAAAATTAATTCAAACACTCTCTGATAATACTCTAAATGTGGTGCCACTGGATCCATCATACTGATATATTCTACTACCCACGGGACCGTTAAAATCAACCGGTTATTTTTCATTGCATCCAAAAGTAATCCACAAATATCCAGAGGAGGAATACAAGTATTACGTAACGAACATTGAATAGTTATTATGTCAGCTGGAATAAAATCGCAGTTTTGATATGGTAAAAACACTAGATATCCCAAGAACTTTGCAAGCATTCGCAATAAACATAAACTATTAAAGTATCTTGCTTTTAACATCTCATCAATACCCATTCTAGCATCAACATCCAATTCTATCTGATTCAATTCAATAATTTTTGCTATAAAATTATCTATTAAATGTTGATTTAAACTCACCGAATTGGCAGCATCCAGAAAATCTTTGAAAAATTCTTGAGATCCATGAAAAGAGGGAGGTGAATTTGGTCCAGTTACTCTTACAGGTGTTTTAAATCTTTGCTGAAGTTTCTCAAATTTTTCAGGAAATGAACGTTTCAAACTGGCAATTTCTTCTTCATTTCTGTCATTTTCAGCTTCATTATCACAAATGGCTGTTAATTGAGAATGAATCAGTCTTGCCAAATGACTAGCATTAACAGCAGTTGAACTAATGTTTCTGACTCTGGCAACAAAGTTACTTTTTTTAATCCAATCAGGGGCAAAATGTCCTTCTTTCCATTCTCGAAATAGTTCATAAAACATATCCCTCTGCTTCTTAAAAGTATTAAAGGTTTGATCATTTGGAAAATTATTTCTATTATCGGTATCAGCTTGAAAAGAAACACCCTGAATCGAAGAAGTCCTGTGAATCGAAACAGGTGGCTTATCTGCAGAAAGTTCCAAAATGTATTCGTGCAAATCTTTAGAAAATTCCGACAAACGAGGAATCTGGCACATCAAACGCAAGGTAGAACGATCAAGCACACTCAATAAATCCCGTTGTCTATTCAAAACCGAGGTAGAAAAATATACACAGTTATGTATCGTATTTAAGGGAGCACCGGTGTCAACATCCGTAATCATTTTATGGGTAGCTTTTGCCGTGAAAAGCTGGAATAAAAAATACAACTCCATACTTAAATTAGGTATGGAATTAGTCTCGACACACTTACAATATATACATATCAAATTATCGACACATTCTTTACTAGTAATCAATTGAAAAGAAGGCAAAATAACTTCTAAATCACTATCATTTTGTTTTTCGTCACTTTCACACTTATCACTATCAGAAACGTTAGAGCATTTTTCGTAAGTATAATTAAAATCTTCAGTCTGTAAATGATTCAATGAATTCTTATTCACTTTATCTCCACGAAAGAATGTAGATTTATGGCAATCATTACGCTGTTCTGACTGAGATTCAGTTTTTTTCACAGTAAAACGGTTATGAAGCAACGAATACTTTTTATGATGTTTAACTGGAAATTCTACATCAATCGGAGGAAATTCTTGTACGTTTGAAATGTCGGGTGGTAACGGTTTGATCCGTTCTACCGTCGTAAAAGGCACATATTTCTTTCTATTTGATTTCGATGACTTAACTGTATTAGGCGATCTCTGTCTGAATTCAACGGGATGTTTCGATCTTGCACTTTCCTGAGTCTTTGAGATATTTTTATTTTCATCTTGGCCCGATGATGTAGTTCCTATTAACCAGCTACATCGTTCTCTAAGTGTGTTGAGAAATCGAGGTACATACTCACTTCTGAATTTCTCGTCAGTCAAATCCGAAATCCTTATGTCGCAAATATTTTCTAACGAACTCATCTTAAAACATCAACGAACTAACACATACAAAAATCATTCTGTATAATTAAAAATTACGGAAATCACTTCCGTAAATACGAAGGTAAGTTAAAAAATCACATACAATTCGTTATCAGATTTTCAAATTTGTTGCCAACATATATTTAAATACGAACACCAGAGGGCGCTCTTGTTAGTACATAAACTTGATTTTTGTGCGTTTTTTTTTTTTTTTTAAATAAATTTTTATATAGTAAATTACATAAATGTCCAAAATTTTTTGCGTCCAATATTTTTTTATTATTTTCACACTACTACTACTACAGTATAGAAATTTTTTCGGAGTGATTACATTTTACCATTAGATCCTTTTTATAGAATTACATACCATTTAACTCTTGCAGGTAGAGAAAAAACTTTTTACTATATTTATCAGTTAGTTATTTTTCTCTGTGTTTCTCACTCTTTGTGCACTAGAAGACTCCTTTTAAATCATACCCGGGGCCGACAGAGGGGCGCAGCGGTTTAAAGCATTCGGGCCCCGGGTTCCCAGAAAAGCGAACATTTCTAATAAAGCTAATTGGTTAAAATTAATTTTATTTTATAAATTTCGATCCGAATTGTTTGCGACAAACTCCGAATTCGAATGGCGAGTCTAACGCACGGCCAACTTATCTCAATTGCATATACTGATGGATAGTTCGAAATAATACTGACGACTACGCACGCAATAACAGTCGTATTTATCTGACGTATTCCCGATACCATTCGAAATCTAAATTTTATCTACGAATTTGTGGTCTGTCCGTACGTTAAGTTCAAATCTTGCTTAGCTCAAGTAATATTGAATGAGTAGTATCATAAATTTAAATAAATCTTTGAATAAATTTGGACTTACAAATTTGTTTTGCTGCTACCTAAGACTAATATATAATTTATTTCTTATCATATTTAAAGAAATGAAAATGAAATAAAATGTACACAATAATTTAAACTAAAGTTCTTTATAATCCAATATACATTTTTTGCATAAATGCTTTCTAAAAGTCTCTTCTGGAATATCATAATAAATTATTACAGAACAGTGTATAAATCTGATTGTTTAATTGGATAAAATTAACCATGTATAAATTCAACAGTTATATTTGTAAGAACTGATTTTCAATTAAATAATTTGGAAGTCAAAATTCTAATATGGCAGTAGCAATTTTATTATTAAAATATTTTATTGATACAGTCAACTTCTTATAAATGTAGATAATTTGAGAGGCAAACACAATCTGCCCTTAGATCTGTTTACATTTATGAATCACTGATATACTATCAGCCCCAAAATGCAATTTTATTCCATTTGTAAAATTTTTCATTAGAAAAACAGCACAATGATTATATATATATTCAATTTAATTATATTTTATTACATTATTTAACAAAAATTAAAATTTTTCACTTTGAGAGAAACTTGTCTCAATCATATGAATAATACAGCAAATTCAAACTGGCAGTTGCATATTGAAACAATTCAAGTTTTATAGATTTTTTTTGAACTAAGTACATTTTTTAGTACAACTTTTTGTATTAAGTTGTAAGCTGTATTGTTTTAAAAGGGTAATTGCAAAGTTTTAATTCACATTATCTTAGATTTACCATATTTTATGGCACATAAGTTTGTAACTTTTGTCAAAAAAAAAAAAATTAATTTACCTTGCATCTTATGTAAAGTTACAATCTGTCATAGGCAAATGTCATAGGCAGCCTAGTGAAAGCAATTTGAATTCCTCAAATTGCTTTCACTAGGCTGCAGGTAACCTCTGTCTACTGTTTAATTAAATAATAACACTTTTATACAACATAATAATAATAAATTATTTAAAAATGGAATTATTATAAATATTAAAGTTAGATAACATGAGACAATTATAAATTGTTTATCATACACATCCAATATAAAAGCATGCATTTTAATTTCACTTTTTTAAATACACTTTCACTTAAATAATTTACATTAATAATTTCACTTAAATACACTAAATACTTTCTCCTGAATATTCTAAACTGAAATGGGGATGTCTCTTATATGCCATAAAATACAAAGAATTTATCCAAAAGTAATATTTAAAAGTTAGTTAGTTTTTAAAAAAATTAATTTTGTTGATTAGAATTTTTTGAGATGCTTTTATTTAATTAATATGTACTAGCTAGCTAACTACAAAATGAAAATAAACAAAACAATATAAATAGCTTTATTTGCAGCATATTCCTTTATGATGACAATATTCAGTTTGGAATTTGACTGTTCATTGCTAGAGTGCTAGCAATGAACAGTCAAATTTGTTAATTTGCCAAATTTGTCAGATAGCAAGTTTGAATCCCATTTTAAATTGGGAACGTAAAATCTGTGTCTGAAAGGATTATTATTTGAGCCAAATCACAGTTGCAATTGTGATAAATAGCATTGCTCTGATTTTCCCCAACACTGAATACATTGGATCTAAATACTGTATTAGCTCAACCATCTTTGTTTTATGTTTTAACTTAATTGACTTAAAGCTAACATTGACATATTAATTAAATGTGGAAAACATTAGCTTTAAGTCAATTAAGCTGAAATAAAGAGGCTTGAGGTAGTATTGCTTCTATTTAAGCTGAAGTTATTTTTGTCACAGAAAATATTCTTTTTAGCTTGTTAAAGTTTGTATATTTTTTTACAGAATTTACTCTGAATAAAACATACTGATTTGTTAAAATTTGCCAGTATTTTTAATATCAAAATTTCACTGGAGCAGCAATAATTCCTCAGTCCCAGAACTGGACAGTAGAAAAAAAATATATAACATATCCATAAACCTTTTGAAATTCTGTTTTTCCCAAAGGCCTTCAGAGTAGCTGAAAATGTTTGGAGTGTCTGGATTTCGTACTGCTGCACTGACTCAAGGTATGTAGATATAATATATTTTTTTTTTCACTAGATCATGAAATTAAAGTTGACAATTAAAAATCATTTACGGTTTCAAATGATACTTTATATATTACAATTTAATGTATCAGTAATATAGGATCAATAATATCTGACAATTTCATAAACTAGATAAACTAAATCTCTTGCAAAGTTTGTTTTCTATTAATTTGTTTAGTCAATTTTATTTTGAAATCTAGATGTCTACATTTAAAGAAAAAAAACTAAAAAAAATAATGATCAATTGTTACTACCAATGGATTTTAGATGAAAAATTTGAAAATGCAGAATATAATATATAGTAAAAACACAATTGAAAAAATAACAGCATATTTTTGATATTTACATCAAACTAAAAACATTAAAACTGGATTCAAAATAGCTACTTGAATGACGTGAATGATATTTTTGTAATTTAAATATAATAAAATTATTACAAATTTATTGCATTTGTATAACAGCACTGTTTTTGCATAAAGTCTGATAAAATTATTGAACAAGTAAGATCATAGAATTACCATATTTTTGTGCATGATCCAGGAACAGTTATTTGTGTTTAAAGGACAACTTGAAAATAATGCAATTTATTTGCAAATTTTTAATTGCAATCACAAATTCAAGCTTAAGAAGCAATGGCTATCCCATAGATGAAGAGTATATGTGGGGTGGGTTATACAAAAAATTTTATTTTTGTTCTAGCAATTTTCTATAGATTACACTAATGCATGTTAAATGCTGCCACAAGTTGTAAATGCAAAAATACATCATTATTGCAAATAGCAAAGGAGATAATGAGTACAGTGTTACCCCGAACTTACGCGATAGGTGGGACCGAGCGATAACAGCGTAAGTCGAATTCGCGTAAGTTGGGATATAATTTTGCAATTTGTGTAAAATCCAAGTCAGATGTATATAAGCTAATAAATGTTCTCGTTAATCTTATCTCGTCTTTTGATTCATTCACAGTTACAAGAAATCACCACATAGAGTCTCTCAAGACTCCGTAGATATAACAAACACAGAAATAAATAACACAAAATAAATTGTAGCTATGTGTCGATTCCACGCGACACGTCCGAACATGTAAGCTGAACAATAGTGTGGGGGGAGTGAGTAATCAAGAGCTGCGTGGCGCTTAAACAAAAGATGAATCGACGAGATTTGAAAATCGTGTAACTCCGGGTTCGCATAAGTCAGGGTAGTGTAAGTCGAGGTATTACTGTATTGCACAAAAATTGAATTTGAGTGTGTTTATTATCCAACTTCATTACTATATGGAAAGTCCCAAAACAGTTTCTAAGAGGACTTAATAATTCTTTATTAAAGTCTTTTGGATTGTTAATCATTCAGCATCAAATTCAACTAAATTTATCTAATTATAGATTATAGAGTGAAATATTTGTTTAAAAATTTCTTTCCACATTTTAAATAATAGAATTATATTTTTGAATTTCAAACATTTTTAATATAAATAACGCAATGTTCTCAACCATCAACTTTGATTCTTTGCAATCCTTTCTATAATTATCTCTCTTTTCATGTCCCAATGTTAAACTGAACACTTTCTTCTTTTTCATAATGCTTATAAATAAAGGGCATATGTCTCTTGATAATATTTAACTTTTGTGTTCAAAAACTTCCACATTATTTGTAAATCTGCTAATCTAACAAGATATCCCTCACTAGAAATGTGAAGAACATTTCATTCTTTAACTTGATAGATTTAGTTAATTCTAATGCTGATGATTAACCATTTAAAAAAGTCTTAATAAAGAATTTGTAATTATTTTAAAAAATCCCAAATCAAATCTGCTTTTAAATCAAGTTATCTAAAAATGAAACATAACTGCTGAAAACAAAAAGAACTAAATACATTTTTCTTGACTATTGAAATAATTTGTTTTATAAGCTATTTTAAATGCATAAACATGATTATTTAAAAATGAATTTTATATAATTTATTTTTAAGAATTTAAAATAAATTTTAAAAACACATTTATTGAGTTTCAATATAAAATTGAAAGATTTTTGTCCATATTTCATTTATCTTTTCAAGTTGAATTTCAACTATAAATTTAGGAAAAATTAACTTATCAGTCAAGATTTTCAATTCTTCCTCCAAAAGTCTCAAATATTAGCATAACTCATTTCACTAAATTATTAATAGTTTAGTGAAATGGGCTATGCTAATATTATAACTATGCAAATAAT